AAGGGACATGGGAGCCTTAAATCAGATCCGGGCCTCTCTTCACTCTTCATCTGCTCGATCCTAAGCGCCCGGGGCCCGAGAAAATACGCGGACCATCGAGTCATCTCACTGGATCGGCCAGAAAGGAAGCGAACTGACCAAAGTGTCGCTCACACTCAGTGACTGTGAGACTAGGTGAGGTGAGGTCTGAGGTGAGGGGAGGTGGGAGGTGAGGTACCAGTGAGCATGAGTGAGTGAGTGTGAGTGAGTGTTTGTTTGGTGCTAGAATGGACTTCCCCTCCCAAAAGATCCAGGAAAGCCAGGAACTCGGGGACTGAGTTGTGATTGAACCCCACAAATAGACTAATCTCCCTCAAGGCTTGGAGGGCTTGCCACCCATGCAGGGAAACGTGCACCAGTTGAAACCCAAGGAAACACGGAAAAACAAAGAGTTCCACTGGACAACAGAAACTGGACAAACCTAAGTGGATCCAGTCGAATCCATCTGGGTGCTGCAAAACACGGGTCCTGGTTCTATTTGGTTCCCATTTTTGGAGTTGTGTCTTTGCTTTGCTTTTCAGCAACAAGCCAAACTGAACCCAAGGACACACCTATCCCACACCTCCGGCGCTCCAAAAAGGGAGGGATAATGCAAATGCCTCACTGGCGACAGGGCACCGCTGGTCAATAGAATTGTCACTGTGGATAGACAAAGGCTTGCAGATGGGACGGATCCATGAGGGCTTCTCAACATTGGAGACCGCTCAAGGTGGTGGTGTTCCCTGTTTTACTTTGGATACCGACCAAAAGAGGCCCACCATTTTGAGAAACCTTCACATGCCTGTGAATTCTCACCACGAACCACCTCACAAGTGGTTGGTTTACATGAATCCCCGAGTTGTAATGTCCACCAAAGGGTCCGGGACCCATGAAAACTCACACCCATATGGCTGTAGGTCAAGACCCTGTACCCCCAGTAAACATCCAAATCCCCACTAAAATAGACTAAAATGGGCGGTGCACCTCCCCCAAAATGGAGGCATAGGTTATGACCCACACCCACATTGGGAAAGCCACTTCCCAACTGGTTCGAAGCCGAATTTGTCCCTCCACTGCACCTTTTCTTCCATTTGCTTGACAGTCCCATAGAACAAATGAGAAAATACTTCCAGTGGTGATAGACTCCGTTCAAAACAAGTGAGACATATGAAATCTTCGTATTGCAAGATGAGTGGCTGAGACAGCAGCTTCTCCTCGGTCTTCTCGTAGAAGGTCAAAGCCTTCAACATGTTCTGCTTCAGCATCCTCAGGTACGTGGGCCCAAATGGTACACCAAACAAATATTACTTTAGTGAGTGGATTGGCCAAAGAAAGGTCCACACGTTTTATTTTCCACTGAAATGGTCTTCCCAAACAATTTAAAGTCCAGAAACTCTGGGAGCGCGTAAATCTGCAGAGTCTGCTCCGTATGGGTCTGCGTTTGTGAGGTGTTCCTTTAAAACCAACCAAAGGTTGGGGGGGTACCCTCAAAAGCGACACATCCAAATAGAAACGTGGCATTGCATTTTTTTAGGGTTTGGTAAGCTCATCAGGTGGCCCAAAAGGTGCTCTTTGCCGAAAAGGGAAAAAGAACTCTGGGGGTGTTTAGCACTCTCCCACACATGCCATGCTTGTGGGAGGAAGGGTTCCTTTTCTCATAGGGAACCAGGAGGACCATCAGAGACGTCTATAAGTCCAATTCCTGGTTTACTTGGATGTTCAACTAACGTCAGGTAAGTAGGCTATAACCATGGTTATAAAGGGGACGCTCATCCCAATTACACTAGTACTAACGACCCCTGCGCCCCCCCTCAAGAATGGCAACGGTCCTCGGCACCGAGCCCTGGCTCGTTCCCAACGTTCAGGCCAGGCGCGTGATGAAGTGCGCGTTCGAGGAGGAGGGGTCCGCCTCCATCTCCTCGATGCAGCCCTTCAGCGCCCTGCGAGTGATGCGAGTTTGGGCTGATGAAGTGGACTCACTCCCGTCGATTCGCGAGGAAAAAAAGAAGAGAGGAACAAAAAACAGAAGTCGAGTAGCTGGTTCTTTTATTTACCACCGACACCTTGGGATTGTGTGGTTCTTGTAGTTACCACCAAAATGATCTTTCCAAAAAACACATAAATCCAGTGGATTGTACCACCAACAGGTTCTTTCCTGCTTAAAGTCCAGGAACTCAATGCTCTTACCTCCACAGACTCAGGAAGTGAGTATTTATGGGAAGGGAACCATGTAATGGCTGAACTCATGGTTTAGAACTCAACACATGTGGGGGAAATGAAACATCTGCGGCGATGTTAGCACGGGGAGTACTGTGGGAGTAGTATGGGGGGCTTCCTGAGACGCACCTGCTTACTTCGGGGATCCTTACACTATACACCTGAACATTGCCTTGTAAATGGTGGTTTCCCTTTGTGTTTGTGGAAAAAGCCATGTTTCAAATCGGCAAAATGTATCTTTTAAGGAGCCCAGCTTGTACTGTTTTTTGGGCACAAGTAAATTACCCGCAGTACCGGCCGTAGCTTATATGGGGGCTGATCAGAAGGTCCTTCACAGGGATGACCATTGGGGGAAATTACCAAAAACATGATATTTCCCGCTAAATGGGAATGCTTGCCCCCCAATGGCCATAGGGAAAACAGGACATCCCCTTCTTTAGCCGAATTTGATGGCCTCCCCCCCCCTCCGAAAACAAGGAAATGCCTTCCTGAAAGTCTGGAAACATGATAAATGGCCTCCCAAACGCTCACTCGTGTTGATAATGTTAACTTTAGACTAATCTGGGCCGTACTAATCAGGGCTGGTTCCCCTTCCAAGCTGCCTCACTTCTGCCGAAAACGTGAGGAAAAGCTGCCCTGCAAACTCGAGAGCTTACCCTCCCGCAGGTTAATATGGAAGCTTCCAGGACTTGTTTGGAAGACTTGGTTCCATTTACAGAGGCCTTCTGGGAGCTTCCATGTCAGTCTGAAGGAGGGTACCCCTCTGCAAAAAAAATACGTTTCACTTTTTGTGGGTTTAATGGAAACCCCGTTGATTTCCCAAAAACTATAGTCTAGAGATCTAACCCAATAGCCAATAGCAGCAGAAGCAGAGATCGGGGGATTCTAGTCTTCCTGACTCGCGGCCTTCAGCCGAAACCTGGCGACTTGCACTGCCTTGGGCTATGGCCAGAAGTGTGGAAGTCCCCAAAACCCAAGTGAACACAGCAGCTGCTTGGCTTCCATGAAGGCGCCTGGGTTTCGAAGTAATTCGACAAATGACAAACTTAAAATACAACTTGCTGGTTCTTTGCAGGGATTGTGTTGAATCACTCCCCACGAACCGGCCCCACTAACACGAAAAATTGGCTTCCGCGTAGTTCGGATTCCCTAGCCGGAGCAAGAAGTCCACTACGCCGGGCCCAAGCCATTATGCTTAGGGGAAAAAGGGTATAGCTGCTATGCTGTGGCTGTAGTCGTTTTGGGGTCAAACCTCTTTCAGAGAGGTTAAAGGCGTTGATATTGTTTTCTATTAGAGGATCCTTCCAACGGAAAAGCCGAGCGCACGACGGATTCCCTTCCGACGCTGATCAGCCAGACGTTACCCCAAACTCGATTCTAGATGTTGATCTGGGCTACACTGGGACAGTACAGGGGCCAGGGTGCATGGCAAAAGTTCCGTCTTGGAAGGGCTGATGGCAGGTAAATTCGCGGTATGAAAGTAGGACCGATACCTGATAGGGCTCCAATAAAATATCCTCATAACACATCACCTGTCAAAGGAAACTCGCCTACGGGCCAAGAAGGTGATGTTTACCCGACAGGCGCAAACGTCAGACGAGCGCCAGCCATCGGCACCGAGGCCTGATCGAAAACCAAATTTTTGGGAGGAGTGGAAAGGAAGGGCAGCCAAAGAACAGGGCAACGGCCAGAAGCCAAGCGGAAGCACACGCAGAGGACAACCCAGAAGCGGCCTGTGCCGAGGCAACAGACACACCAAAAAGAAAGAAAAGGCCGAGCCATCACACGACAAGCGTTTGCCAGGGACAAGCCCAATTCGGGTCAGGCCCGCCTTCTAAAGCGTACGGATATCAGTACCAACATCGCATCAAAAAATTGTAGCCACTGGCTCGGCTCAACTGGCTCATAAGAGGAAGGAGCCCGGAGCAACACACCTCTGCGCTAAAAGAACACCCACAAGGTCAAGAGCACGGGAACCGTCCACGAGGCAGGATGGCATCCAACCACCGGCAGAAAGAGGCAATGTTTATCCCACAAACGCATTGTCAGTCAATCACCACCCAGCAGGCCAACCAGCACCGAGGCCATAGCGCAGCCTCCCAGACCTGGATGGAGTTGGGCAGCATGAAGCACATCGCACTCAGGCAAAAGATTGTAGAGCCTCCGGAGCCATCGCTGACTCCGCCAAGTGGCGAAGAACATTGAATCGCGCGAGCAGTGAGACGGTATGGGCGGCAGGCCGCCTGCAATGCGGCACGCTCAGCAGCTGCGTAGCACCTGGGTGGACGGAGGTCCTGGTGCGTAGGGGTCCAAACAACCACTGCATCAGAGGCTGGAAAAGGTGTCCTCGTATAGACCAGACATCCAAAAAGAGCTCCCAGAGAACGGTCGCGGCGGCTCTATAAAGGGAACATGCATAGTATGCTACGCTGCACCAGCTGCCTCACAGTCAGTATCAATGCGAATTGTTGTAGCTGCATGAAAAACCCATCACCACCTGGGCACGCCATTCACCTGTTCGAAGCTTATAGAGGACCTCAAACTCGAGGTGGCGCACACACCCCCACTTGAGCGCTGACACCCCCACAAAGCAATTGCCCTCCGGCAATACCACGGCGGCAGAAAAGTAGGCTGAGGGCCGCAACGCCAGATCCCTCAACACCATCGGCACGCCACGGCGCACCACCAAGAGCAGAGACCACCAAGGAGCCAGGGCCACGTAGCGGAAGCCGAGACAAGGAAAGCAGGGCACCCCCGAGAAAAGGGGTTAGTGGACGAAGGACCGCGCACTCAACCCGGAGGCACAATCGCAGTGAGGCTGAGTGCCTAAGAAGGTGATGTTTCTCCGACAGGCGCAAACGCCAGACGCGCGCCAGCCACCGGGGGGCCGTCCCGTCTCGAAAACCCCGACACTTTAGCCGAGGGCCAACACACTCCGGGAGGAGTGGAAAGGAAGGCCAGCCTAAGAACAGAGGCCAAGCCGAAGCACATGCAGAGGACAACCCAGAAGCGGCCTGTGCCAAGGCAACAGACACACCAAAAAGAAAGAAAAGGCCGAATTTTCACACGAAAAGCGCTTGCCAGGGACAATCCCAATTCGGGTCAGGCCCGCCTTCTATAGCGTGCGGATATCAGTGCCGACAGCGCATGAAAAAATCGTGGCCGCTGGCTTGGCTCGACTGGCTCATAAGAGGAAGAAGCCCGGAGCAACACACCTCTGCGCTGAAAGAACACCCACGAACCGCCGACGGTGAAACAAGGTCCACGAGGCAGGATGGCATCACCAAGTAAGCACGGCAGAAGGAGGGGATGTTTATCCCACAACCGCACCGTCAGTCGATCACCACGCTATGCCGAGAGCAAACAACCAATCCCGGGGCGTACGCCCGGATCAGCAAACATCGCACTCAGGCAAAAGCTTGTAGAGCCTCAGGAGCCATCGCTGACGCCTCCAAGTGGAAGAACATTGAATCGAGCCCGTGAGCAGGGAGACGGTATGGGCGGCAGGCCGCTTGCAATGCGGCACGCTCAGCGTGCAGCAGCTGCATGGCACCTGGGTGGACGGAGGTCCTCACATTGTAACTGCGCGAGGTCCCGGGCGCGTAGGGGTCCAAACGACCACTGCGTCAGAGGCTGGAAAAGGTGTCCTCGTAGACCAGCAGACCTCCCAAAAGAGCTCCCAAAGAACGGTCGCGGCTCTAGGGGGAACATGCTTCCCCGCCCCCGCCTAGTATGCCACGCTGCACAAGCTGCCTGACGGTCAGTATAGATGCGAACTGCCGTAGCTGCATGAAAAACCCCCATCACGACCTGGGCAACCTTAAACTCGAGGTGGTGCACACACCCCCACTCGAGCGCTGACACCCCCGGAAAGAAATCGCCCTCCTGCAAGACCGTCACGAAGAGGACCACGGCGGCAGCAGAAAAGGCTGCAAGGGAGGGCCGCAACGCCAGATCCCTCGAGAGCATCGCACCCACCCACACGCCACAGCACACAAAGAGCAAGGAGCCAGGGCCACGTAGCCGGAGCCGAAACAGACAAAGCAGGGCACCCTGCAAAAAAGGGAGTAGTGGACGATGGACCCCCGCAGGTAGCCCACCCCAGGGCGCACCCAACCCGTAAAACCATCAGACAAATATTGGTCAGTCTCAAAACCCACAAAATGGTGTGTGTGTGTGTTTTTCCTTTTGTTGGTTTCCCTTTAAAAGGAACCCCCCCCCCCAAAAAAAATGGACATGTTTTACCTCCCGAGCAAAAAAACCAAAACAAGCGTAGCCATACGGTGGATGGAAGAAATATTGCATGACTCTTGTACAGATCCACTCCATCTTGTTACAACTTACCCCGCGCCCCCAAATTAACATTGGCGCTCATTTTCGGCCAAGTTGGGTTGGGTCATGCAAGAGTTAGGTCATTGGCAACCTACGAGCACTTTTGCCCGTCACAGCTCAATGTTAAGTAGGGGGCGCGGGGTGATAAACATGTAGTCTCATAAAACTCATGCAATTTTCCTTCCATCAACAGTAGGGGTTGAACAACGTCGGAGGCCACCAGGCCTATAGCTGACATAGTAGGCCCGCCATCTCATCCGCAAGTTCTCCTCGCGGCCGGCTGGGCGCAGGGGGAAGCGTCTGGCGGACTCAAAGGAACGTATCTCTGGTGTTTGGTGGGACACACGGTCCGAGATCTCGATATGTCCCCCGCCGAGAGGAAGCTTCACAGTAGGTCCAAAAGGTGCTCTTAAAATGCAAGCATGGACATATACACGATCAGGATTAAAAGCAACGTTTGTGCGAGAAGGCGCCTAAGATATAATGGGTTCAACCAGTGTCAACAGAAACATTGCCCCATCATCCACACAGGCACCCAGGCACAGGGAAAGTGCAAACATACTGCAGAGGTAGGCAACACCTCTGCAAGGGGCGCACAACTGCAGCCACCTCCTGGCAACTACATGATGGCTCCTTTAACCTGCGAGACCCCCGGCTGTGCAGTTCCGCGCTCTCTCTCTCTCTCTCTCTCTCTTCCTGAGTGGAGTGGCCAAAATAATTCACATACAGTCGCAACCTGTTTGCCACCAACATGGTCTGCCCAGAAGTAAGAAGTCCGGGAACTCGGGGCGTGTCCTCCAACAGCTCGGTAAACTTCATGGCGTTGGCTTCTCAAGGCAGCGCAGCGAAGCAACCGCGGGTCGGATGTCTCGCAAGGGGCTCTCCGCAAATGGCGGCTTCCCTGCCAGCCCAAAGTTGACAATTTGATGGTTTCACCAACCTAAAGGGTTCTCAACAAATCCCCGCAAACCATGGAACACACCTTTTGCTTGGTGCGGAAAGAAAGCACGTTTCACATGGCCTGCCTGCAAAATGAATTAACTAGGGGACCCCGAGACCCATGTGTGGCTCCCCGTGGGGCCATTTGGTGTGGTTCTTGTTGAGTTGATGTTCTTTTGGGACTTGGTTCAAAGTTGTCAAAAGGACACCAAGCATATTTGGAGGTGTCTATATTCTCACTTCCGATGAAGTGGATTGGCCAAAAAAGGAACCGAACTTTTGATTCTCCACTAAAATGGTGACGCAGGAACTGACTATATAAAGTCCAACTCATCCGGTTGAACTCCTCTCATCCGGACTTGCCACAGGCTCGGGCCCAGAAACGCGTCTTGACCGTTCTCAGGCCAGCGGAGCAGGTGATCAACATCGGTTCTCGAAAAAAAACGGAATCGGACCCACCAAACCGACGTTTCCTTCTGAGTGTCCCGTGTTCAAACCATTCCGAAAAAGGAAACCCCGAGCCTCAGAAAGAAAGGCACCACCACCCACATGGGTGTGTCTGTTTAAGGGGACCTTGCCCCGTTCTCCTTTTAAAACCAACCAAAAGCGGGTTACCCCCAAAAAAAAGACATGCACATTTGGCTACCCATAAAAACACACCAAGGGTAGGACGGGTTTTCAGGTTTCCCGAAAACCCGCCAGTAAGCTTTGGTGGGCGTGTGGAGTCCCGGATCTGGGCAGCTTGGACTTGCAGTTGGCCTTCCTTTTGAGCCATGGGAAACAGGTACATGGCTCACTTCCTGAGTCTGAGGGGATTTGCCCAAAAAGGAACCGACCTTCTGATTTACCGATTTACCGCTAGAAAATGGTGACCCCAAAAATAACTCAAAGGTGACCCCAAATCAAAAGGTAAATCACTAGAAAATGGTGACCCCAAAAGTGACTCAAGTCCGATGCCGGAACTCAGGGAGGGAGATGTGGAAAGCCCAAACATGGCCACACACCTGGAAAAAAAGGTCACACGGCGCGCCGGACGTACTCGGATCCGACCCAATCCGCAAAACCGCCAGGGTTGAATCACGCTCTTACTCTGGGGCCCCATTATGCCCCTTTCGTTTTTGAGCGTAACAGTGTTAAGGGACGGTTTTAATGGAAACCAAAGGAAAACCACACATTTTCGGGGAGGTTGGGGTCCTTCCGCATTTTCAGACACGACCATGCGCACTCGCCCGCATACATGCGAAGCGTCAAACCCGCACCTCATCGACCCAGGGATGCTCCTTCACCTTTCGGGGCGCGACTGGTAGATGGGTTTGTCTTTTTGGAGGGTCCCCCCAAAATGAGAGGGCTCCCTTTGGCTTTGCTTTGAACCAACCCCCCAAGAATGGTACAAAGCCTCAAAAACAAGACAACAACAGTTGACTTTCCTTTGAGAACGTCATTCAGGTGGCCAAAGAAGCTTGGCACTTTCTCGCTTCCGATCGAGTGGACTGGCTAAAAGGAGTAATTGAGCTTTACGCTTCGCACAGAAATGGTGACCCGGAAAGTGACTAAAGTTTGTGAACTCAGGGAATAAGCAAAGGGACTCCCCTCGCAAAAAGACGCAAAATTGGGCACTGGAGGTCGGGGAAGTCTTGCCAGAGTTCAGCTGGAAACGCGGAGATTATGCTTGCTTCTGAGCGTCCTTCCCCTTTGGGGGGAAGACTCCATGAGAACAAGGCACCTGGATGGATCCGGATTTGACATTGAGAATGAGAAAAGGGTTCCGAGCTGAACAAAGCAACAAATCAATTTCACCAGGTTGTTCCTTTGAAGGGATTGGCGTCGGGTGGAATACCCATTTCAGGTTATCAAGAGTTTTCCCGGAAATACCCAACAAACTCAGAACTGCGCAGACCCCTTCTGAATGATGTTGCGAGAAGGGATCGTGTGCAGTTCTATGTGGGAAGTGCCAATCTTCGCCACACCCAGAGCCGTGTTGGGGCATCAGTTGAAGGGTGTTTGGCTGATGGAACGTTCGTGTCAAAATGGGGAACTCCGAATCTGGGAGTTTGGTTGACCTTTGAATGCTGTGCAAATCCCAACCCTGCAGGCAAAGCATCGCTGCACGGAAGGTTTGCCACTATGGTAGTTTCCCATGTATAAAAGCCAAAGGATCAAATCCCCAAACCCCCAATCCAAACCATGCCGGATGTCTTGTGGGGTCCCTGATTGCAAAAACACAACGCTACTGGGGAGCCCCAACCAAAAATATGGTGCCTCCGAACAAAACTATGCAATCTAATTTACTGTAATGTACTGTAATGCAATGCAATGTAGCGCAATGCCATGCAATGCACTGCAATGCACTGCAAGCATGAGTGCGTGTATAATATTATATATATATAGTATGCACATATGGATGCATGGATGCACATGCAGAAATTCTGCATGTATGCCATGTATGCACGCCCCGCGCCTCGATGGCGCCGCGCGCGGAACCGATCCGGTCGTTCTGGCCATGCCACTCCGAAGGGCGAGGGGGGGGGGGGTTCCCTGCCGTGGGGTGGGATGACCTACTTTAGATGGACGAAATCCCTTTCACACCATCTAAAACGCCCTAGAAAGATTCGATTTTCCGGCAACTACCAGCAAAAATGAGAATGTTGTCCATCCGCAGGGATGGGGCTCTGTACCATGACTCAAGGGAGTGGATTTGTTTGCCACGGTCTTCCCAAAAAGTAGGTTCATGAACGAGCGAGACGGGCTGGGGGGGTGCCACAATTGGGGTACCTTCAAAGGCGGCACAAGGCTTATTTGACATTTAATGGTAAACTCTCAGGCTTCACAGTATCAAGCCCGAGAACTCACAAATCGGTCGGCCGTTTTGGGGAGGCCCGCCCGGCCACTTGAAAAGGAGAACAAGAACAAATGGTGGAAGGGTTAGGCATCTCATGTTGTACACCCCATGTTGAAGCTACTTCAGAGTTCCACTTGTTGACTTCCCCAAGATAGACTTGAACCCAGGAGTTCTTCTTTTTGGAATGAACCACCCTTGGGTAAAAGTTACCTGGGTTGTCAACAAGTAGAAAGGCCAACACCTTTCAAAATGATACCAGGAAACAGAGATTCAGTGTGAGTCGGTCTCACCACCTCTCAGTCTTCTCCGCATGAAGGGATGATGTCCTTCTCCTTCCCCCAACCAGTAGCCCGCAACCATTGATAACTTGCTGGTGCTCAGTAGGGAATGACCTTCTGGGTGTTGGGAATGAACCTAGGGATTCCCTTAAAGCAAACCAAGGGTCATTCCAATTCTCATTCCCTGCTGAGACCAGCAAGATATTTCCTAAAAAGGTTGGGGTAAGGATGACTTCAACTCAGGACTTGTCATGCCAGCCAAGCCTCTGATGCAAGTTTGGCGTGGCATTCACGGCACCGGGTAAAACCTTTTCCGGGCAAAACCTACCAAAACTCTTGAGAAGACCCAGATCAAGAACCGTCAATCTCTCTCTCTCTTTCTGCGACGGTCTCTCCATGTAAACCTGTATATGCTGAACATTTGAATGCCGTATATGGGTCGGTCGTTTTTGGGCGCCCTTTTGGGTGGTCTTACAGGGAAACCAAAATGACAACCGAAGCCATTTAGATTGGTCCAACCTCCAAAAAGACACGCCCATACATGCACACGCTCAGTGCTCACACTGGAACTGCTGGCATATGTCGGCTTCGAGGTCAGCCACTTGAAACTCTGAGACCTTTTTTTGCGCCCCGCCGAGGTCTCGCGAATCCGAGGTCTCGCGGGCGAGAGGACGCCTCAAGGCCGGGCAGGTGAGCAAGGCGCGTTTTTAAGGGACTCCCAAAATGGTGGTTGTCCTTTCGTGTCCTGCAATCTGTAAACCAACCCAAAAATGGTCCTGTAAAAAGGGTACACACCCTGTTACTACTTGGATGACTGACTTAGTATGTGGTTGATATGTCTGGAAAACTTGTCCTATTGAGATTTATGATTCACCCTACATGAAACCCAAGGACTTTGCTGGAGACATGATTCCAACCACGTCCTAAGTGCGTCGAACATCCATGACAAACATGAGCTGCAAGAAAATATTAAAGTCCGGCAAATGTAGAGGTGAACCTAAGGGTTCCCTTTGAAACTTTGGCGGCCCTTTGAAACTTTGGCGGCTTGCTCACTGTTCATGTATTTGACTTCACCCCAAGGTGTCCCTTTCCAACCACCAACATACCTCCGATTGTCCCCTAGAAGAAACAAAACAAATCCAATAGTGATGGATTCCATTTAAACCAACAGGAGACGTATATATATATATATATTAGAGTACATGCATATGTATATCTGGCTTCGGTTTCCCTTTGGTTTCCCTTTACAACCACCGACTTACCACCATAGGGCTCCCTCGACAAATCAGCACTCCCCCATGCCAAAGACCGCATCTCGTGCGGGAACCCAGGGCCTTAGTCCACCACCGGAGTGCTTGCCGCCGGCTACAGGGAGTGGTCGCGGTTTCCTGGTTTCCTGGTTTCCTGGTTTCCTGGTGGTTTGCCATTTCAACCATCCAAAGGGGGGGTTCCCTGTTTTGAGACATCCCGATGCAACTGCGTGGATTATGATTCGCAAAGTCTCCCTGGATCAACCAAACCCCCGTGGCCAAGTGATTTCATTCCCAACGAATACAGATTCTGCATACACCCACCATTCGCTCCCCCCCCCCACCGGAAAGCTGTGGCCGTTGTAAGCCTCGCTTCGGCTTGAGATACCGCAAAAGTCGCGATTCGCCTTTGACGAGTCCCCGCACCGAGTCCCCGCGCCTAGTCCCCGCCGATCAGCCCGCGGCAAGCCATCAAAGCCTCGAAGCCCTGACGAGTCTGACCGCGCGCAGGGGCCGGCGAGGCGCTGGGGGCGGGAGCGAGTACCAAACAGGATGAATCACCTGAGCGCCCTTTTGGCCCCAAGCTGCTCACTTTTGGCCTACAGTAACATGCAAAATGTTTGGAGGAGAACGCAGTTTGGTTCAACCAAACATGGCTAAGGTTTCGGCTGTAGTATAATCCTTAAGGATACTTGGATGGGTGTCTCTGTTTTTGAGATGGTAGCCCCCCCCAATTGTTGTTGTGCTAAAGGGAAACCAAAAGGAAAACCAAAGGCATTTTGGGGATCCCCGAAAAAGAGACTGTAGCTGAAGTACTAGTAATCCGTGGAATTCAATGGATTTCTCCGTAGACCGCTTCTCTCTGTTTTGTGGGGCTTCCGGCATCTCAACATGTCAACGGGCGTCCACCATGTTGGAGGTGACCCCCCCGCCCGAGTTTGGTGACCCATGGCCTATGTTGATTGGGTTTGCACTTCGATCCGAGGTCGCCAGTACCATCATCACCCAAAAGATCGGTTTGGAGACCCCAGGCTTGTCCAGATCCATGGCTGTGGGACCCCTTGCACGCGCAAGGCCCGCCTGAGGGCGACAGCTGGGGTGCTTCCAATGGGTCTCAGCGAGTGCCCAGTCCACAACCTAGGCATACCGCGTGGAAAAGTCCCACTTCCTGAGGCGATCGGCAACAAGTCAAGAAACTCGCGGTTTATCATAATGGTCCAAACCCCAAAAGTCTGGAGACTCTCAGACTTGGGAAGTGGAAGTTGAAGCACCTTCAAGTCTTCAAGAGCACCGATCCTAGCATGGGACTATCTTGCTGGCTTCATGTTGGTGGGGAGGGTAATTTCGTTCTTTCGTTTTTCTTCCATGCCCATTCCTTTCAATCGTGCTTTTGAAAGACATGTCGGTTCCCCTCGTTTTCAGTGGACTTGGAAAGAGCGCGGAAGCTACCTCTAGAGTCCTGGGGATGTCACTTTCGGATTGAGCTGTACGACCACATGTAAAAAAAAAACAAAACAAAAAACTGAGTTCACTGTCCTGCGGGTCAATTTGAAGAAAACATTAATGTTGGCCCCGGATTATGAAACATTGATTAATAGAGGGGGTCCCCGTTTAGTGGGGTTTCATCACTTTTGGAGGGACCCCCACTTCATATTCATAGTGCAGGGGTCAACATTGTTAGGACGATTGGGCAAAAGGCAGCAGGAAATCGGACAATCTAGAACTTGGAAGGAGTCCGCTCCATGCGTCGCAGCTTTCAGCTCCCTCTGTATCTCTCCCTGTGGTTTTATACTGGGCTTCCGTGGCGTCTTGGAGGAAGTTAAGGGGTCAGCATCCAGTGAAGTCATCTCGTGCTCTCGAAGTTCGTGGGGGGCGACCCTTTGTTTCCTAGGAGCCAAATGGGAACTCCAAGCTACGCAGAGCAGTCGGCGGTCTACGTGCCTTCCGATGGAAGTTCCAACGGAACACCACGGCCTTAGAGGAAGCCTCAAAACTGCATACACCATCCGTGTCTCGGCGGCTTCCCTTATGTGTCTCTTTGAAATCGCTTCCAAGAGGTTCCCATCAATATGTTCAGGGTACTCATCCAGCTGGCGGTGGATGGCGTGAGTTTGAAAGTGAACCAACCGCATGCCACAAACCCCTGGTAAATCACCTTATTACTTTGTTGGGATTGTTCTTCACCTGCCAAAATGTGTGACTAAATCCAACCTTCTTCCCTTCGTCCCTCAGTAACCTGAACCTCATTAGCCATCACTAGCCCTGGCCTTTATTTCTAACCTCACAAACCTCACCAAACTAACTTTCTACACCGATGTCAGTGGTTGGGAGCAGTTTGTTGCCCAATCAAACGTCGTCTGACTCAGTCCCCAGCGCAGTCCGTGAGGTAAAGCGCTGGCCAAAGCTCGCCCTTCAACCTCGGTCCCCGTGGATCGTTACTGAAGGAGGCAAGAAACTCGGCAAGAGTTGCCATGTTCCTAGCTTCTTTGTTGGGTTCCGAGGGTTACATACAAAACCCCAAACGAAATCACTGGAGGTGGGAGATACGAATGGAATCACTGCAGGTATCGACTCATCCAATGGGTCTTCATTGGGAAAAGAAAACAACAACTACCCATAAACTGGATATGGACTCCCCCCTTCTGGGGTACGGCTTCCTTCTGGTTTCGCATACACAAAGCAGGGGACAGGGCCGCTCATTCCAGCCCTGTTTTGGACAGATTCTAACCAAGTGGGCCGCAAAGGAAGCCTAGTCCAGGAAATCGGAACGCGCGAAGATCACGACTCCTCACGCAGTGCTGAAACTTGCCAATCGGATTCCGCCAAAAAACCGTGATGAAAGACAAACCGGGTCTCTTCATAGTCATTCCTTGAACACTAGACCTCCCTACTTGGGGAAGCTCCATTTTCTCACTGCCAGAGTTTGGCCGAAAAAGTGACCACACTTTTAATTTCCCACAAAAGCGGTCCCCAAAAGCTAAACTTGCAGGAACTCAGGGAGCGAGTTTGTGAGAGCTCCGAAATTCGTCACATCCCTGTGATGCCATGCCTCCCCCCCCACTTGGGGAAAAATAAGGAACAGGTTGGTTGGTTGGTTTGCAGTCTCAATGGACAGCTTGTGGGCACA